CAGATTGACGACTGCACCAGTATTGACCATCCCGTCAGGTTTTGATGGTTTCGTAGTTTATAGTGATACCTCACATCAAGGGTTGGGTTGTGTGTTGATGCAACATAGTAGAGTGGTTGCTTATGCCTCTAGACAGTTGAAACCTCATGAGTGCAATTATCTCACCCATGATTTAGAGCTTGCAGCTATTGTGTTTGCACTGAGGTTATGGAGACATTTTTTATATGGGGTTACGTGTGAGATTTATACAGACCACCAGAGTCTGAAATATCTATTTACCTAGAAAGAGCTAAACTTGAGGCAGAGGCGCTAGATTGAGCTTATTAAAGATTATGACTGCACTATTTATTATCAACCGGGGAAAGCAAATGTTGTGGCAGATGCTTTGAGTCAGAAATCATCAGATAGATTGGCTAGTTTGCGAGTAATTCGGAGGGGTTTATTTGTGGATTTGAAATCATTGAGAGTGAAGTTGGAGATAGGAGAGATTACAGCTTTACTTGCTACATTGACTTTGAGACCAGTGCTAGTGGATAGGATTAGAGAGGCACAACAGTTTGATCTCCAAATTGAGAAATTGAAGAAAGAGGTGAAGAGTGGAGTGAAGACTGATTTTATTATTGATGCTGATGATGTTTTGTTATTTGGTTCTCGGTTATGTGTGCCTAATGATGCAAGGTCAAAAAGAGAGATTCTGGAGGAAGTCTTGTTTCATTCCAGGCCACCAATAATGCTCTCTCAGGTCACGAGTGAAGGCTGAGTTTGTGGCTCGATGTTTGGTATGTCAACAGGTGAAGGCTGAGCATCAAAGACCAGCCAGGTTATTACAGCCACTACCAATTCCAGAATGGAAGTGAGAGGAGCATATTACTATGGATTTTGTGAGTAATTTGTCCCGTTCACAGAAAGGACATGAGGCTATATGGGTGATAATTGATAGGTTGACGAAGTCTGCTCATTTTCTAGCTATTAAAATGTCATATGCTCTTGACAGGCTAGCTAGATTATACATTGATGGGATTGTGAGATTGCATGGTGTATCTGTATCTATTGTCTTTGACAGGGATCAACGCTTTACTTCGAGGTTTTGGCCAAGCTTACAGACTGTGTTGGGCACTACTTTAAAGTTTAGTACAACGTTCCACCCACAAACAGATGGACAGACAGAGCGTACTATCCAGACATTGAAGGACATGCTGAGAGCTTGTGTCATGGACCTTCAAGGTAACTGGGATAATTATTTGTCTTTGATTGAATTTGCTTTTAATAACAATTACCAAAGTTCAATTGAAATTGCACCATATGAAGCTTTGTATGGGAGGAAGTGTAGGACCCCAAAGTGCTAGAGTGAAGTGGGTGAGAAGAAGTTATTGGGTCTAGAGATTGTGCAAATGACTGCTGATCAGATTAAAGTTATACAAGAGAGATTACGGAGTGCACAGAGCAGACAGAAAAGTTATGCTGACAATCGCCGACGTGACTTGGAATTCAAGATGAGTGATCGAGTGTTTTTACGGGTATCACCTTGGAAAGGGATCATTCGTTTTGGTAGGAAAGGGAAGTTGGCTCCTTGGTATATTGGTCCGTACAGCATTGTGGAACGGATTGGAGCTGTTGCTTACCGATTGAAGTTACCAATAGAGTTGTCCAGATTGCATGATGTATTCCATGTGTCTATGCTACAGAAGTACATGTCTGACCCATTACATGCGTTGACTTTCGAACCGATGGAATTAGCTGAGGATTTGACTTATGTAGAGCACCCGGTTCAAATTTTGGGTAGGAAGGAGAAGGTATTACGTACAAAGACGATACCGTTGGTTAAGGTTTTGTGACGTAGTCACTCAGTAGAGGAAGCAACCTGGGAGACTGAGGAGAGTATGCGGGCTTAAAATCCACATTTGTTTAGTGCAGGTAAGTAATTTCGATGACCAAATTTTTATTAGTGGGGGAGAGTTGTGAGATCCAATTACGCATTGCATGCATATTAATATAATTTTGTGGGCTAAAGTGTAATTATGCAAAATTATTAACGGGTTAATTAAAGTAAATCCTTCATAGTCATGATGTATGTGAGCATACATTGGGTAAGTGGACCTTGTTAGTGATGTATTAGTGAGACCCATTTATAGGAATTTCATGTGTAAAAATATTAGTGGGTCGATTTTAAATTTATTTAAAAATTTGGGGGGAGCAAGTGTAATTATTCACCTAACTTTACACATGTTTTTAAAATAAAAATAAAGGGGTGCCGTGTGTGTATATATGTATGCCGTGTGTAAGTGTGTGTTTAATGGTGTAAAGTGTGTGTGTGTTAAATAAATATAAAAGGGGTGTGTGTGTGTGTGTGTGTTTAATAGAGAACCTAAAGTGTGTGTGTGTGTTCTGATCAACTGGGAGCCGAGAGAGTGAGGTGAGCAAGAGAGAAAAGGGCAAAAAAGAAAGAGAAAAAAAAAGGAAGAAAGGAAAAAATGAAAAAAAAATATACGCGTGTGGGTCTATTTGAACCGTGAGCAAGAAAAGTATGTGTGACTCAATTTAATTGTACGTTGTGATTAATTTTAAGATATATGTTGTTATATATGTGTGGGCTATTTTAACATGTTTTAATGAATATGCTGTTTTAATTTAAATACATGAGCTGCCTTATTTTATTTTAATGAGTTGTTTTAATTCAAATTTCATGAGCTAATTTAGTTAATGTTAAAACAGATTTTGTATGATTGTAATTAAATATATTTAGCATAATTAACGGGCTATTAAAGATAGGTTCCAAATGGGTATTAAAATAAAGATGGAAAAAATGTAAAAAAATAGTTATTTGAAATATTCGGTATGTTTTTTAGGGCTAGGTTGGAAGCGAAATTATGAGAGTGAAATGAGTAATTTAAAGGTTCAATTAGGGGCTGAAATTGAATGATTAAATGTGTGTGTAAGATTAAGTGTAGCGATTTTAAATAAAAAATACGATAAAAATTGGAAAGGGGTGCCGGTAACGCCGAAACCCTGATTTATAAATGTTATTATCATATTTGTGAACTTTAATCCAAATGACCTGAAATTTTGCATGTAGCAGTTTTAAATAATGCTTAATGTGATAATGTGACTTTTGAATGCACATGAGTATAATATCCGGTGCGAAATGTATAAAATACCGGAAGTGCAGTTTTTAGGATTCAGGGTCGAAATGTGTGAAAATGAGCCCCCGGTCAATGTGTTTGACCTGCTTAATCCTAATTGTGATTAATGTGATTGAATTTGGGAATTTAGAGAGGAAATGTGATCCTTAAAACAAAAGTGCTAGTGTGTAAGTGGATAGGACGGTAATTGGAGTTACCGAGGCACTTTGGGGTGCATCATTTGCATGCATTAGTGCATGATTAATTATTAAATTTGATAACTATATTGATATTGTAATTACAAATATGTTAAGTGGAACGAGTGAGACAGTCGGTATTGAAACAGGTACGGTGACACCGAAAGGATCCACTAATAGGATTAGAGGGCCGTAGATTTGTATATCTAAGGTGGGTGTATATCTTTATATGTTTTGAAAATGCTATTATCAAATGATAGTAGATGATTGAATTTAATAGTAATTCTTCAGGATTATGTGGTACGTGCTTATGTAATTAGATGATGCTTTGTACTGTATATTGTGTATTATGGAATGTGGCGCACTGTTTGAGAAAGGGGCGTCGACGCCTGGTCACTGGGCGTGCAGTGATGTGCTAGCACTGTGGTATTTCCGAGAGGTTCGAAAGACACGGATCCATGTGGGATCGATTACCCAATGAGGGGTAGTGTGGATGTGATGTGGCTTGTGAATTCTTTGAAATTAGATTGATGTTGTTGTTTAATACGTGTATCTACGTAATATCTATCTACTTCAGTGTATTATTATCATTTTTATTTCATATACTGCATGTATACTCACTGAGCACGTGGTTTAGCTAACACTCCTACAGTTTCTTCTTTCAGGTACTATAGAGGAGAATGCAGACCGATCTACTGTCCAGTTGATTGAGTCTTGTGCAATGTTAGTGTGATACCACTCAGGTTGAGTGTCGGTATTACTAACCGTTGAGCTGTGTATTATCTTTGTGAGAGATTATTATGGCCGGTTATTAATATATATTTGTAAATAGACGCAGCAAGCATACTTTTTAATGTATGCTTTGTGGGTGTGGAATTTTGTATATGTCTATAACCTGAAAAATAAATGTTTGGTACAGGTGTTTATATATAGTACAAGTTATCAAACAGGTTTTACCATCATACTTAATAGCTAAGGTGATGACTTTTGTTGTTGCACATGGATTTATCTGTTACATGAGTGCTCTAAGTTACTTAATATATTTCGTGATTTTAAGCAGAGGATAAAAATTCAGTTTGATCGCACTATTAAAATCTTTCATTCTAATAATGCCATGGAGTATAAGACTGCCCCCCATTCATTAAAGAACTTAAATAGGTAGGCACCTTGTCTCATTGATCGTGTCCTTACACTTACCAACAGAATGGTCATGCATAATGTAAGCATCATCATACTATTGGCACTGTTCATTCTCTCATTCTCTTCGTCACTGTCCCAAAATCTTTTTGGGGAGAAGTTACCCTTACTGTTATTTACACTATCAATCGAGTTTTATCTCCTACTATCTCTAATTAATTTCCATATGAAGTTCTCTATAGAAAGGAACCTGATTATTCTGTTTTTAATTTTTTTTGGTTTCGTTTGTTTTGTCTTACTCCCACCTCATGAGCGTACAACACTTGAAACCCGTTCTTGTCTTTGTTGCTTTCTTGGTTATGGCATTGAACATACGGGATATTGGTGTTATAACCCTATAACCAAGCATCTTCGAGTCTCCCTCTACGTTTAGTTTTGGGAACACAAGGTCTTCACTAGTGTTTCAAAATTCTCATCCGATACTTCCTCATATTCTCCTGTTTTCACTAACCCATCTATAGATTTTTTCCCAAATTTTCTTATGCAGGTAATGCAAGCTCATCAGGTGATAACTCAATGACTTCTCCTCACGACTCTAGACTACCTATTGATTCTATCATCACATCTAATCCATCTGAGTTTAACTCAATGACTACTCCTTATGAATCTAAACCAACTGTTAATCCTATCATCTCACCCGATCCACCTGAGTCCTCCTCCACTTTGGATGTTCATTGTTCCAATAGGGTAAGGGCTCCCCCTATTTATCTTAGTAATTATCATTATTTTTCCACTCTTGCTACACTTCATGAACCTCACAATTATCGCGAGGCTTTTCTGACCCTCTTTGGCAGCAAGTTATGTCTGAAGAACTTGATGCCCTTCACAAAACTCATACTTGGAATTTGGTTGATTTGTCTCCTAGAAAGGCAATAGTTGGGAACATAAGAGAAAAACCAATTCTAATAATTCTAAGGTGCGATATAAAGCTTGTCTGGTAGTCAAGGGCTTTACATAGGAGTATGGCATTGACAATGAGGAGATATTTGCTCCTATTGCTAGCATTAACTCTGTTCGTTTTCTCTTGGTCGTAGCCTCTGCATGCCAATGGCCTCTGTTTCAGATGGATGTGAAGAATGTCTTCTTACATGGTGACTTAGATGAAAAGGTTTATATGCAGCCTCCCTAGTGGTGTCCTCATCCTCCTGGTAAGGTGAGTCGCCTTTGACATGCATTATATGGGCTTAAGCAAGCTCCACGTGCCTAGTTTGCCAAATTTAGCTCTATTATTGCACAACATGAGTTTGCTTCTAACCTCTATGATTTTGCTCTTTTTATTCGTCATACTGATGATGGTATTACTATTCTGCTATTTTATGTTGATGATATCATCATTACTGGTGATGATCCTTCTGGCATTCATGAACTTAAGCAATTTTTGAGTTAGCACTTTGAAATGAAAGACTTGGGCTCTCTCAGTCACTTTCTCAGACTAGAGGTGTCACAATCCTCTAATGGCTACTATTTGACCAAAGCCAAGTATGCTTCTGACCTTCTCTCTCGTGCAAGTTTTACTGAATGTAAGACAACTGATTGCACCCTAGAGACCAACATTAGACTCTATCCTACGGATGGAGAACTTCTGCCAAATGCTACCCGTTATCTGATTTATCCTCTCACTCATCTTTTATGTTGCAAGTTTACTCTAACGCTGATTGGGCAAGTGATCTTACTGACTAGCGGTCTACTACTGGCTTTCTTTTTTTTTTTTTTTTTTGGTGACTATCTTATATATTGGCGGAGTAAGAAACAGACAGTTATTGCTCACTCTAGTACTGAAGCTTAGTACCTAGCACTTGTTGATACTATTTTCGAGCTCCTTTGGTATCGTTGGCTTCTACAAAATATGGGTGTTTGTCACCAGTCTAGTACTCCTCTTTATTTTGACAATCGCAGTGCTATTCAGATTGCTCATAATGATGAATTTCTTGGGCATACAAAACACATCAAGATAGATTGACATTTAGTGCGTCATCACCTACAGGAGGGTACTCTTCGTCATTTTTTGATTACTTCGGCTGATCAGTTGACTGATATCTTCATGAAAGCTTATCCATCTAGTCGTCACCGTGATTTAGTTTGCAAACTCCAATTGACATCTTCGATCTCACCTTGAGTTTGAGGGGGATGTTAATGTGTATATGTTTATTTTTGTCCCACATTAGTTAGACTAGGATATTTTATTATTCTCTTATAGTATAAATTCACCTCCCTATGTATATGAAAAAGTACACCAAAGAAATATACAGTTGATATTCACGTTATATTCTTTTTTTTTCAAGTTCTTTTGAGACACCATGGAAGAATCAATTGTCATATGATTGCAATAGGCTGAGTCGATAAACTGAGGAGAAAAATTTACCTAATGAGATTAATAAGGCAGTGGAAGTAGGAGATAAAACCTGGGTCACAATTTCCTCAAGGTCAACTGTAGTAAGAGAGGACAAAGGAGATGCAGGGGGTAGTCGAAAGCTGATGGGCTAGTAGAAACAGCAGCAACAAGCTTTATGGGATGAAGAAAACATAACCTTCTAAGCACATCTAGCATCCTTATCCTTTTTCTTTGGACAATTAGAGATGCGGTGGCCATCTTCCTTACAATAATGATGTTGTTCATTGAAAAGGCATGGTTTATAGGAGGAAGCAGTTGCAGAGAGAATGGCTTTAGTAAAGGAGCTAGACAGTGTAGCAGCCACGACCAAATCGATGGAATGGATCCAACGAATTTTTTGACATGTTTCCTCATAAATGAGCTCTGTAAGGGAAACTTCAAATATAGGAAGAGGATAATGATGGAGTAATGATGCTTGAATGGTTTCAAAATCATCCCGAATGTGCATCATAATGTGAATAAATTGACAACGATCTCAATTGTTCGCAAAGAGCTTATTGGAGTCAGCATCCTTAAAAGTTGGGTCTGCTTGGGAAAACTGATCCGAAACACTATTAACTTGAGCATGAATAGACTGGTCAAGTTCCTACCGCATTTGATAAAACTTAGATTCTACCTAAAACTGGAGAGCAGCATCACTAGAACAAATGTATCAGTTTGCCAAAAAATCCCAGGCAAGCTTGGCATTCTAAAATTTAGAAAGAAGAATCTAAATAGAAGGAACAGAGTTATTAATAAACTAAGAAAGAATCTTACAATGAGTGTCTGCCCATGCCTCAAGGCGATTATCAAATTCAGCTTAAGTTTCTTTGTTAGTTTCTATTTAATTTTTGTAGGTTCCTCTTTTGTGCTAGTCTTAAAACCCCATAATCTCAGCCAATGCAAAAAAAATTGCATTTGTTGGGCCCAAGCATTGTAGTTGGTGTTGTCCAACACAATCTCTATAAGGCGAGCTACATTATTTAGAGAAGCCATAGTGGAAAAAGTGGTTGGAGCTGGTTGAAAACTCGTCGGAGGATGGCCAGAAGTTCATCGGAGGATGGCTAGAGCAGATCAGAATGTCATAGAAGGATGGTTGAAAGTTCGCCAAAGGATATTCTTACCCTATCATTGATGGTCCATATTTGTGAGGAGCAGTCATTGAATTATCACCTGATGAGCTTGCTGTACCTATATCAGAAGAAAATTCTAAGAAAAGATCTATGGATGGCTTAGTGAAAATAGGAGATTATGATGAAGTATGGAATGAGAACTGAGAAATACTAGTGAAGACCTTGTGTTCCCATTAATGAACATGTCGGGAGATTTGAAGACGTTTGGTTATGGGGTCATAGCACTAATAACCCAAATGTTCAATTCCATAACTAAGAAAACAACAGAGATGAGAATGAGGTTCAAGTTTTGTATGCTCGTGAGATGGGAGTAAGACAAAATAAGCACAGTCAAAAACTTTTCAAAGAGAATAGTCGGATACCTTTCCATAGAGAAGTTCATAGGGAGAATGATAAGAGATAATGGGAGATGGAACCCCATTAATAGTGTGAAGCAGCTTCTCCCCAAAAAGATTCAGGGAGATAGGCAGACAGAAGGAGAGAATGAACAATGTCAAGAATGTGATGATGCTTACGTTCTGCACTGCCATTCTATTGGGAGGTGTAAGGACATGATCGATGAGACAAATTGCCTACCTGTTTAAGTTCTTCAATGAATAAGGTAGCCTTACACTCCATAGCATTATCGGAACGAAAGGATTTAATGGTGCGATCAAACTGAGTTTTGATTTATTTATTTATTTTCATTACATCTACAATGTAGACAGGCTCGGCTCATTCATTGCAAAAAGCTATTATTATAGTACGATTACATTGCAATCATACTTGATAATGGCAATCTCACTGGTCCTATTCTAAGCATATGCAATATGTTACATGGTCTTAAAACCGCGGGGGCAGGGGCGTGGACAAGCTGAGGATGTCATCACAATATACCCGAAGACGAAAATTGATAGCAAACCTCATCAGCATCTATGTTTTTTGTGAATTTTCACATCAAGAGAGCCATCCCACTCCCAATCTAGATCTTGGAACTATCCAAGAGTGATGTAAAATCAGCTAGCAGTCATTGACATAGATTCTACAAGCTCTTCTAATAATTCTTTCTGTTCCATAGTAGCACAAGACTGCAAGAATAGATGTAAGTGGGCTTAACCTTAACAACACAAGCAATCTTGGTATTATGAAAATTATTTTTGGAAAGTTTCACCACATAATAAAAAATATAGAAATTAGCTGATGAAATAATCAAGATGATTTTTCTTTTTCTCTTTTTCATTTATTAACGAGTGTTGTTTGGGGATGGACGGGATGGGCATCCTGGCAAGATTTTGAAGCAAATGTACCTGAACAACTGTCTCAATATCACCATCAAGAAATGATGTTAGCTCAAAGTTCATTTTCAGCCTGTGGTCAAAAACCCTATTGTCCTTGTAATTGTAGGTTCGGATCTTTTTTGCACGAGCTCCTGTACCAACCTGCAATTTTCTCTAATTCCTGATCAACTCTTGTTGTTCCCTCAGTTTGATCTCATACAATTTTGCACGCAATAATTGAAGAGCGCAATTCTTGTTTTGAAGTTGAGTCCTTTCTTCATTGCAAAAGATTCGTATCCCAGTTGGTTTATGAATAAGATCAGCAGCAATCTCCACCTTGTTGACATTCTGCCCTCTAGCACCTCCAGACCTTGTTCCTGAAGTTGAGTTTTGATCATCTGCTTAAATTCACGAAAAGTATTAAGTAACTCGGAGTGATAATTTAACAGATAAAGTCATGTGTATCGTTTATAATTATCAATAAAGATTACAAAATAATAAGATCCACCCTTAGTGGGAACAAGAGCAAGACCCCAAACATCATAATGAACCAAATCCAAAGGTGTCGAAGACAAAGAATCACCTCTATGAAAAGGTAAAGCTTTCTGTTTTCCCAATTTACAAGACATACAATCAAACAATTCAAATTTAACATCTCCTAAACAACCACTAGAAGATAAAGACTACACACAAAATAAAGATGTATGACCGAGAGGAGAATACTAAATACTGGAAGGCACAACAATAACAAGCAATTGATTAATGCATGAATTGGGCGCATGTAGAGATGTAAGCTTAAAAAAACGACCAACTTTATGCCCAATCCCAACTAGTTGGCCCGCTTTTTGATCCTACACATCACATCCTTCGTGAGAAAAGGTTAAGATAAGACCGCATTCAACAAGTTGACAATAGAAAGAAGATTTAGAGATAAGTTAGGAACAAGATGCGTGTCAGAAACATAAATAATAGGGGTAGAAATGGGACCAACATGAGTAACAAACATATGTGAACCATTAGCAATATATATGTGAGGCATCGAGTTTAAAGACTTTTTATGAAACACCAAGGAAGAATTGGATGTCATATAATTGCAACAGGCTGAGTCGAAAAACCAAGGAGAAGATTTACATAAGACGACTAATAAGGTAGTGGAAGTACGAGATAGAACCTAAGTCACAATTGCCACAAGGTCGCTATAGTAAGAGAGTACAAAAGGAGATGTAGTGGGATATTCGGAAGCTGATAGGCTGGTAGAAACAGCAACAACAGGCTTATGAGATGAAGAAAACTTAGCCTTCTAAACATCTCTAGCATCCTTAGCCTTTTTCTTTGGACAATTAGAGATGTGGTGGCCATCTTCCTTATAATAGTGATATTGTCCATTGAAAAGATGGGGTCTATAGGAGGAAGTAGCTGCAGTGGGAGTGGCTATAGTAGAGGAGCTAAATAGTGCAACAGCCATGACCAAATCAGTGGAATGGACTTGGCGAGTTTTTGTTGTGTCTCCTCAGAAATGAGCTCTGTGAGGGAAACTACAAGTGTAGAAAGAGGAAAACGATGGAGTAATGATGCTCGAGTGGTTTCAAAATCATCCCAAATGTGCATCATAAAGTGAGTAAATTGACGACGATCTCGATAGTTTGCGAATAGCTTAATGGAGTCAGCATCCTTAAAAGTTGGGTCTACTTAAGAAAGCTGATCCCACACCACCCTTGTGACTAATGAGCCTTTGGTCCAATGGTGCTTCTTGTATTGTGAAGACTTTGCCTTGAGGTAAAAGGTTCAATCCCCCCTCCCCTCTCTCCCTATCAGTTTCAGCTAGAATTTGATAGAGCTTAGATTCTAGCCGAAACTAGAGAGCAACATCACTAGAACAATTGTATTAGTTTGCCAAAAAATCTCAGGCAAGCTTGGCTTTTGAAACTTTGGAAGAAGACTCCGAATAAAAGGAACAGATGTATTAATAAATCAAGAGAGAATCTTACAATGAGTGCCTTCTCATACCTCAAGGCAATCATCAAATTCAACTTGAGTTTCTTTTTCAGTTTCTATGTTAATTTTTGTGGGTTTGTCTTTTGTGCCAGCCTCAAAACCATATAATCTCCACTCGCGCAGAAAAATTATCTTCTGTTGGGTGCAAGCATTGTAGTTCCATGGGCTTCATTTTTCTTATAACTCATCATTGACATTGCAGGTTTACTCTGATGCTGATTGGGCAAGTGACCCTACTGATTGACGGTCTACCACTGACTTTCTTTTTCTTTTGGGTGATTCTCTTATATCTTGGCAGACTAAGAAGCAGAAAGTTGTTGTTCGCTCTAGTACTGAAGCTGAGTACCGAACACTTGCTGATATTACTTCCGACTTCCTTTGGCTTCACTAGCTTCTACAGGATATGAGTGTTCCTCACCAATTTAGTACTCCTCTTTATTGTGGCAACCGAAGTGCTATTCAAATTGCTCACAATGATGTCTTTCATGAGCGCATAAAACACATCGAAATCAATTGTCATTTGTACGTCATCACCTACAGGAGGGCACTCTTTGTCTTTATTTGGTTGTTTCTGCTAATCAATTGACTAATATCTTCATGAAGACTAATCCTCCTAGTCACCGCTGTGATTTGGTTAACAAACTCAAACTGACATCTTCGATTCCTCCTTGAATTTGAGTGGGGATGTTAATGTATATATGTTTATAAGCTTGTCCTACATCGATTAGACTAGGATATTTTAGTATTTTCTTGTACCGTAATTACACTTCCTCATGCATATGAAAAAGTGCACCAAAGCAATATACAATTATTCACTTTCTATTCTCTTCTTTCAAAGATGTGATATTACCATAATAAAAAGTGGGACCAACAATATTATTATGCTAATGTTACAGTTATATTAGCTGTCACTAATTGTTAAATTGGTGTGTTCCATTGTCTTGGTATAACGTCTAAGACAGTGTAATTGGTAAATTTCACTAGCACAAATTGTGAAATTAGTCTAATTTAACTAGTGAAATAAATATTTCACTTTTTTGAAGTGTGACAGTGAAATAAATCCACACTAAAATTGAATAGTGAAATTAGTTTATGGCGGTAAAAAATTACTGTTATCAAAATTTTCAGAGAGACAATTACAGAGTGAGAATATAAATAATGTAATTTTAAATAGTGAAATACGAATTTCAATGTCCAATTTTACTATTTAGTTCACTAAATTTGGACAATGAAACGAAAATTTCACTTTTCAATTTTACTTTGTAATTCTTTGAAATCGGACAATGAAATAGGAATTTATAGAGAGAAAAAAAATGAGTGTTCATATTTTACTCTCCATTTTCACTGTCAAATTCATTGATACTTAATGCAAGAATAGAAATTTTGTTATCAACTTCATTGAAAATTCCCTAAAAAATAGACTGTGAAATTAACATATGGTAGTGAAGTAGTGAAAAATTTATAAAGAAAGGTATTGACTTAAACTACTGAGTGAAAAATTATTGGGTGTAACGGTTACAGCATGTTATAATGTTGATATGGTGTAATCTTTTAATAATAAGACAATGTATAAGCAAGTGAATCCACATAATTAAATACTGAATGATGTGGATGAGTAATTATTTAATTATGTGGGATCCACTTACCTACATATATCTTATTATTGAAAATTGTTATACTATATCAATATAATAACGTGGTATAACTATGACACCGAATATTTACTCCATTAATAGGGGATGTCAGTGTTATTTCTAATAGATGAGAAGATCTACCTATTAATTGGACAAACCTTTGGAGAGGTGAATTCAATTAAGTCTAAAATATCTTCCTTAGCCGCCACACCTAATGTGGCCTTTCAACCCCTAAACAGGGGTTAGACTTATGAAGGAGTGTAGCAACACCCAATGTGGATCTTTCAACCCCTAAAGAGGGGTTAGACTAATGAAAGGAGTACTTAACTACGGTATGCTCAAAAAACTTTACTTTTTTTAAGTACAAAAAATTATTATTTTTGTGGATAATTTATCATATTTATGGATATTTTTATTATATCCGTGAATGTTTTCACCACAATTGCGATAACTTTTTTATCATTTTTTTGGGCACGACAATAGTGATAAAATTACCCATAAATGTAATAAAAATTACTACAAATATGATCAATTTACCAAAATTTTGAATTTCGGTACTGTAGTCATGAAAGGAATGTCCTACAGAATTCTATCAAGATTGGTGAATAGTCGTGAAAGAAATGTTCTACAGAGTTCTATCAAGATTGGTGAATGGTCATGAAAGGGATATTCTACAGAATTCTATCAAGATTGGTGAAAAGTCATGGTGATGGCCAATCGGAGTAGGATTTTGTAAGTCTGATTGAATTCTTGCTCACGGGGAGAAGGAAAACGACCGGCAACAAGGACCTCAGATCTTGACATGACCTCGGTCTGGTCCAAGACCGAGGTGCTAACAGTTGCGGATTTATGTCAGAATAATACTATGCATAATAAAAGTGTGCGTCAAATTATTTGTTGTCGTCGGATCAATAGTTTTATTATTGATCCGACGACCGTAAATGATTTGGTGCATATTTTTTGTGCACATAATTTTATACTTTACATAACACCTCTTCCAAATTTTTTTCTTAATGTAACTATATTGTTAAAAATAATTAGTACACCTTTTAAATTTGCCTTGATTTATATATTTTTTATTCTTTTGGTTTTAAATTCGTAATTTAAAAGAAAATAATAGGCCCGTCAATTGGATTTTAGTGGTATTATTACGCCTACTTGAATTTTTATTCAATAACTTTGTGATTTTGATATAAAATATAAAATCATGTCAAAGTTAGTTATAAATAGATGTAATGAGCCTCACATTTTGATAAGGTTTCTAATTATTTTTTTACTTCTTATACATTATATGTATCACCTTTTGACACTTTTCAATTTAAGTAGTTTATTTGTCAAATATAATGTAATTTAATATCAATATATCATCTGTAGCCTTTTACACTTTTGGCTTAAGGGGTAGGCTGAACTAGACCCAGATGGAGTTTCTGTTTGTCTTAAAGAGAAGAGTGGAAACTGGGGTTAGAGGTTCAAATCTCCTTTCTCCTCCCTCAAAAAATATATATATAAAAAAATAAATAAATAATCACAATATTCCTAATTAAAAATGGGTATTTCATTTCATTTTTAAATATCATAATAATCTATTATTTAAGGGACCCAAATTACTAACATACCAATATCACATTATTCGATTGTTGCTTTTGGTCATATTATTTGCTCAATCTAGTATTACTATATTTTTAGTAATGAACATTATTTTAGGAGGATTGATCCTATGGTTCGTAATTGGGGTCCTCATTACCAGAATGCCAAGAAATTGTTTTTTGAGTGCTTATATGGTACACTTCGCGGAAAGCCAAGTGTACTCCAATCGAACCATAGGTTGCTTAGATTTGAGTCTTTACAGAAAAAAAAAAAAAAAAAAAAGAATTAAGAATCTATTTTGAGTGTATTTATTTTGCAATTTAAATGAACCAAAACCAAATTGAGCTCAAGCTACTAGCATGTATTAATAGTCTTACCAGGAATTAGGCTGGGCTTGACCCCTTGTGACGGGTCATTTGGGATTTTAAGAAAATAAAACAGAGTCTGATGGAGTTGCCAGAGATTTCACCTATAAAAGGCCACTTTTCACTGATACAAAAACATCCCTTACCCAATAGCTATCCATTTGCATTTGCTCCTCTCTTGTGCTTGTTCCATGGCTGGCAAAACCATTCAACATGAACCTTCTTCTTTCTCATTTTCATCTTCCACACCCTGGACGCACGATGTCTTCTTGAGTTTTAGAGGTGAAGATACACGCAAAAACTTCACTGATCATCTCTACTCTGCTTTGATTCATGCTGGTATTCACACTTTCATGGACAGTGATCAACTACAATGTGGGAAACAAATTCCATTGGAACTGTTGAAAGCAATACGAGGATCAAAGATTTCTATTATCATATTCTCGAAGAACTATGCATCTTCAACATGGTGTTTAGATGAGCTTGTGGATATCCTCCAGTGCAAGAAAACAAGAGGACAATTGGTTCTTCCAATATTTTACGATGTTGATCCGTCCGATGTACGTAAACAAACTGGGAGCTTTGCAGAAGCATTTGCAAGGCATGCAGAGCGCTTTGTGGCCGAAATTGAGAAGGTGGAGATATGGAAAGCTGCACTTACTGAAGTTGCCGATATATCTGGGTGGGATTTGCAAAATGTCACAGATGGGTAACCCATGCTAACCTTCCTTGTGCTCTTTTTATCTCTATTTATCGTAGGTACATGTATATGGCATCTAATTTAGAACATTACATGTGAGTAACCCATGCTAGCATTTGTTTTTTTTTTGCTGCTCTTGGTATATATCTCTGTCTGTTTTTATGTGCATGACGGTATCGTTACAAAAAATTATAACCTTTTAAGACCAAATATAATTAAGGATAACTAAGACTAAATTATAACCCATGCTAGTAGAATAATAGTGTTGGTGGGCTTATTTAATATAATTAATGATAATTTAGACCAATTTAATATAAAGGTAATTTGAACCATTAAAAAAAATCTTATAATTTTTCTTTCTTTTAAATTACAGAATATTTTTTTTTTTAAAACTATCTCGAAAGTTTTACATGCTAACAAAATACACGCATGAAAATATTTGTTTTTTTAATTTTTTTTACTTTCACTTCACTTTCCATCATTTTTTCCTTAATCAAACGGAGTCATTTCGATTTTGGATAAACTTTAATTTATATTTAATTAATACACAAAATTTAGAGATTTTAGAGGACGTTATATTTTATTTAAAATATATAATTGGTTTAAAATGTACTAAAAAATTATTTTGTATCTTTTTGTTCAGATTTTATTTCGACCAAATAAAAATTGAATTTACTGCTCCACAATAATTTTGACTTATAATTTTTTGTATCAACTAGTGAATTATTTTTCAATTTGCCCCCCTGTAAATTTTCGTGGCTCCACCCTTATTATCATTATTACTATGCATGCATATACAATCTATTATCATTAGTACGACAATGAATTCACATATAATTCTTCATATTGTACGCTAAAGATTCTTTTATTGGTATGATGAACAAACTTCCTCTAAATTGATA